TGTCTCCAGGATTCATGGGCACGGTCCCAAGTTCAAGACCCTTGTCTGTCTTTTACCCACTCTACCACCCGGCAGAAAGCAATTAACCCCTCAATCTCTGGAGCACCATCAACACATAGCACAAGACTGTGAGAGTCAAGATCTATAGTTGGGCAGCCACCCCTGACGGGGGGGCCTTGCCTCTCTTATTAGCATCTTAGCATGAAAATGAACCTCTTCTATAGTCGAGCCCTGTATCAGGAGAGTACAGGGATGCAGTGAGTAATGGGCCATTTTCTATGTGGAGCTGGATTAAATAACTTGAAAGCCAATGTTCAATCGTGGCTTTTCCTGAACCTCAAACAAATGAATACCCACATATGTAACTCTTACTCATTCCTGACTGCCCTGTCACTATCCATCCGGGCATCTATTAATGTTCAACCATCTCTCCTTCCCTCCCTCCTTATTTCTTTCTCTCCTTCCCTCCCTCCCTTTCTCCCATCCTACCCTTCTGACTTTTGATCACCTGCCTACCCACAAACACTTATAATAAGGAGGCTCTGAAGTAAGATCACATGAGTTTGGATTCCAGTTGCATAAGTGATTATTAACATGACTCTTGGTCTCTCTGAATATATTTTCTTCATTTACACATAGGAATGTTTATTTCATACTCCTGGGTTTGGGGAGAATTACCTGAGATGCATGTAAAGTCTCACAGTCCCTTCTGGAAATATGGTTGAGCATTCAACCACTGTTACCATTATCAATAATTGCCTGTTATAAACAGTGAGTCATCAGGACCCGAGGGCCAGCCATCTGCAAGAAGCTTTTCATTCCAGAGACATGAAGTTCCACTGTCTTTTATGTGGTTTCTTATTTCAGCATTTGTTTTTTTTGTTTGTTTGTTTTGGCAAGCGCCCTGTCAATCATGTCATTTGAACATTATAACTTGACATATGAAAGAGACCTTGACTTGTTTTGTAGGGAGTGGCCAGTGTCAGGCATCCATCGTGACTAAGATGAGGTGGGCTGATTGATACACAAAAGGGTTAGCCATTACTCATGGTGGCCTAAGCCCTGCACTGTCTGCTAGCCAATCTAAGTTCATATCATGATGAAAGCAATTAGTTAACTGGATATGCCCTTCCAAGTTTCTTTTCTGCTATCTGCAACCCATGGAGACCAAGTGCATCTTCATTTAACTTTTTTTCTATGACAGACATAATGCTTTCCTGTATTTTACCAGAGTCCCCTTCAGTCCCTCATTTGTCTCTGACTGTTAGTTATGGGTCGATGTCCTGACCATGGGCTGTCTCCTTACCAGGGACTCAAAAGTTTTTCTTTTTGTAATTAAGTGTGGATGGCATTGTTATGCCTGTTATTCAAATAGTGAAACTCCTTGCTTCCCCAAATGAAATCTCATGTGGATTTTTAGTAAATGAAATCCATGATGTGAGCCTTGCATACAACCATCAGTGAAGTTAATGCTGATGGTATTACCTGAAATATGGCTTATATTGATTGAAAAGCGTGTCTGAAAACTGCAAAACACACATAAAGAACACTTGTTTCTATACACACGGTTAACTAATTGCTTTCATTATGATATGAACTTAGATGATTGGCTAGTAGAAATGTCCTGGAAAATAAGGACTGTGTAAATGGCACTACATATGCTGTATAGTCCATATTTTAGGGATAGAAAATTATTCTTGCTGGTTCTTTCTCAAAGATGTGAAAGATTTGTGCTCATCGCTCATGGTATCCAAAGGAGAAAGCAGATTCGGGCTCAGAGTGAGGAAAGGGAGGCATTTCCTATTTGCCTACTAGGCACTAGCAGTACTTAAGCCACAATCATGTCATCCATGACCCCTCAGGACTGTAATCCCAGGTTTCTGTCTCCTTTTTTACCCCTTCCACTGTCCCAACCCTGGTTTCATGTTATTTCTCTCTACCAAAATGTTTTATGCACAAATCCCCACTCCTCCATATTAGATACAGGAGACAATTTCCCATCGCCACTGCTTGGGACTCCTCAGCCATATCAGGTCTCTTGTATTTCCTCTTCCTGTCTGCCCTTAATCCCTCCTCTTCCTGTCTGTGGGTTTGCTTTGTGGACAGCTCTCCCTTCCAGATGCAACACAGCCCCTGAGAAGTCTCATCTACTCCCAGAGTCCCAGTTCTCTGCCTACCCACGTCTTTTACAAGTGAGCATCTGATCTCTGTCTTCTTAGACACCTGTCTTCTGTTATGGCTGCTTAGATAGTCGTCTTTTCCTTCTAGGGCTAGTCCTGCTCCAGAGTCCTCCCTCATCTGTCAACTCTTGTCTGTCCTTTGGAAATGTAAAAGGTGCCCTATAAACCTCATCATTTGCCCTCCACCGTCAACCAACAGTCTTTACCTATCCGCACTTACCTCCTGATGTCCTCAGTTCTCTGCTCTTCACGCTGCTTCTTGGCTGATGCTAGGAGTCTCCAGTCTGCATCACTGTAACTTACCCCAGCCCTCTTGCCCCATCCATCTGAACCCCTACCCTGCAGCCAGAGGAATTCACATAAAAATGCGGGTCAAGTTGACTCTCATCCCTACCCTACCCTACTGCCATGTAGATCATGACGGTGGTTTCCATTGTTCTTTGGATGAAGCAGGTCACTTCCTGGAATGAGGCCTGCTGCTCATACCCATGTCTAACCACAGTTGCTTCCTCCATTGTCTAGCATGTATTGAATACCAGGATGAGACCTATAACTTTACCTTTTTTTTTCTCTTAGTGACCATTCAAAGTCATGAGCAGATCTTCTAGGTTTGGAATCTGGATTATAGATTTTCTTTCCTTTATGAGAATTTCAACCCTCATCTGAAAGCCTGTTTGCTGACTTTCATGGTGGGGCTTGAGAGTGGCATCTACCCGAGCTGAGTGGATTGAAGTCTCTTTTGAACACATGTGTAAACTGAAGTATATCGTGAACACACAGGAAGATTTTGCCCAGAATATAGAGAGAAGACTCATGAGGCTGATAATCAGCCCTACTTAGAGAAGCTGGGATTTTTCTGCTTGCAGCAAAAGCTCAAGTTACAGGTTGGAGTAAGATCCTCAAAGTCCCTGATAAACAAGGAAATGGAGATTATATAATCACATTACTTGTCTTACAGTTTCATGGTCAACGAGGGAATGGCCTGTGTATTAGCTTCTGATCTTGCTGTGCCTGCAGGGCTCGAGCACACCCCTTAATGTGGCAAAGGAGACTTTACAGATGTAACTAAGAGCTTTGAGTGAGAAGGTATCAAGTGTCGATGGAGAGGCTGCTAAATGCAATCATGTCTATTCATATTATGGGGTATACAGAGACTGGACACGTGCGTGGAAGTAGTTAGCTGAACAGCACGACAGACGTTGGAGTGATAGCCACAAACCAAAACATGCAGTCAGCCACTAGAAGCTGGACAGGGCAAGGATGGCCGTCAGGCCCCCCCTTTTAGCTCAGTGCCACTCATTTCCAACCTCTAAGCCCCAGACCTCTAGGGGAATACACCCCCATTCCTGTAGTCCACCACGTTCTTGGTAACTTGATGCAGAATCCTCAGGTATTCTTCATGTAAATGATGTGAGAGGGAGCATGAGAACCTGTGCCTTTCTCATGGGCACTCTGTTGTAGATACTCACCGCCCCTATCCCCCTCCAGCCCTCTTAATTCATACTCTTCTAACATGATGCCTCAACTGCGTAGTCTCCATGCAACCTTGAGATGGAACACATCCTAATGATTCATTTCTGTAGCTCACTTCTTATCCGCAACCGTTCAGCTGACATGTTTGCTTTAAAGTTACTTAGAAATCCACCTCCCATGCTCGAATCCAGGGCACAGGTCTACCCCTGCCTTCTGGTATACATCGCCAGTCCCGTAACCATGTGTCTTGCATATGGTCTTCAGAACCTGGTAAACAAATAGAATCCCTTCGATGAAACGGCTCTTCAACATTCTTCCTCTGTCTTTCACTTTTTAGTTTCTTGAAAACTTCCTGCAAGAGTGCTGCATTTGTATCTTTTCCACGCTGCTCCCCAACATTCCCATGCTCTCCCTACTTAGTCTCAAATTCATTCGTTAGCTAACGCGAATATACATTCAGCATGTAGGGTTAGCTGTGAATGACATATATATTCTGCTGAATCCATTTAGTATTGGTCCTGTTGGCATGTGTTTAGGGATGCCTGCTTTCCCACTCTTAGATGAAGAGCTACAGGCAATTGGTGGCTACCGAGTGAGGGAGAATCAGCCCTCTCTTCGGGGAGAAGCTTCCTGACTGGTTATCCAAGGCAATGCCCTTCCACAATTTGTTTGCACCTCTGTGCTGTTAAGGTGCCTTGGGTCAATCAATACACAAAACTCACTTGGAGCAATGGGTCAGGGGCGATGATAATGGGTTCATCTCGGAAAAGAGTTTTATGAACACCCGTCCTGCACTGAAGCATCTCCTACTCCAGAAAATAGAATATGCACATAAGAAAACAATGCCCTTTGAAAGAGGCAGGGGCAAAGGGGTTTGAAAGTAGGGAGGTGGAAACAGTCCAGGGCTGGAGTGCTGGGAAGCCGCCGTTGTTTAGGCAGGCTTGGCCTTGATGGGCTTGTGAGTGGTTTTTGGTTGGAGAGGTGGGGAAGGAGTGCAGTGTGCATTCAGCATCAGGCAGAGCAGGAGCCGGCACAAGGGAGGACAGAGAGCCCAGAAACGATAGCGCAGCTTGCGTCTGTATTGCAGAACTCCTTCAAGCCAATTCTTATCGAAAAATCAGACAAGAAGCCCAAGGTGCACATGATGAATAGAAAGTGTAACGGGGAATGCAGCGGGCTACAGGGACGGGAATGTCTCACGCGGTATCTGTGCAGAGCTGAGCTAGTCTAGTTTTTTCAGACAGTGACTTCATAGTATGTGTTTGTTGTGGTTTGAGTGTGAAATTTCCCCATGGGGGTCATTTCCCTGTGTTATCATTTGGTTCTCTCATGATAATGCTGTTTTAGAAGGTTATGGAAACTTCAGCCTGGCCCCTCTTCCTCACCCCTCTCTTCTGGACTGCAGAGACCAGCCTCAAGCTCCCACCGCCATATCCTCTGCCATGCTGGACCACAGCCCTACTTAAACTTTGAGCCAAAGTAAAGTCTTCCTTCCTTGAGTTGCCTTTGTTGGGTATTTTGTCACAGCCATAAGGAAACTGAATAATATGGTGTGTCAAGTTATAGCACTGTCCTTCAAATGTGTCATACTTGGGCGTTTGGCTGTTGCCAGCCAATCTGTGGATTGCATTCTGGACACTGGAAATGATTTGAAAGTGAGAAGTGGGGGCAGGTAGTTGTGTGTAAGCATCCTTTCATCAGAATATCCTACATTCCTACAAGCATACCTAACCTTCATGGACTGCATGCAACTGCATGTCCAACATGAAACCGTTAGCCTGATTAAAAGATTGTAAGACATTTGCAGAAAGGGTTGGGGCGTGTGTGTGTGTGTGTGTGTGTGTGTGTGTGTGTGTGTGTGTGTGTGTGTGTGTGTGAGATTCATGCATGTTTGCTTGTATGTAAGCCAGGTAATGTAGGTGAATGTGTATGGACAGACATATATCCACACATGTGCTCCTCTGTGGAGGTCAGAGGTTGAACCTGAGTGTCTTCCTTACTTTTTTGTCACATTTTATAGTAAGTTGTGGTCGCCCACTGGAACGTTGAGCTCAGTGTGGCTAGTCTAGCCAGTGTGTCTGTTCTGTCCCTTCAGAGAGCACTGGGATTATAGGCCAGTGCCACATCTCACTAGCATTTGCATGAGTGCTCTTGACTGTGGATATGATCTGTCCAGTTCCTGTCTTGGCTTCCGCAACAATGGATGATAACCTGGATGGAAGCCCATACATCCTTTTCTCCTCCTTGTTGCTTTTTCTCAGGGAATTTGTCACAGAAATAGAAATGAGATGAAGACACCTTCCCTGAGTCTAGGCGCACAGAAGTCCCATCCATAACCCTAAGTGTCTAATATTGTCAGGCACATGACTTAGAGTCCTGGGACTCTGTTTTTCTAGAGCCATGAGAAACTGTCTTATGAGGGTAGATGACACAAACACCCCATGCAGAATGCCATGTGAGAGCTAGAAGAGTCACCCCCACAACCCTCATCCATGTTTATAGAGTCCTTTCAAATCCCTGTGACATGCTGCTGATAGCTTCTTCTCAGAGTCCTCCTTGGCATCCAGGGTGGGGGTACACAGACCTATGAAGGGGTTTCTGGAGGAGCAGGACACATGGCTGCGTGGTTAAGGGTCTTCCTGCCCTTGCAGAGGACTGGAATTCTGGTTCCAACACCCAAGTCGGTTGGATCACAACTCCCTGTAACTTGACTTTCAGGGGATCCCACGCCCTCCTCTGGCTTCCACAGGCACCCATACACATGCGTGCATGCACACTCTTAAATATAAATAATAAAGATAAACATTTTTTTAAGTTTCTGGAAACAACAACACACGGCCATGATGACCAGCACTACTGATGATTCAAAAAAAAAAAAATGATGAGAGGAAGGTTCCTTCGGCATGACTAGAGCCCTTGCCAGCAAAACGCGGAACACTGGTCAGGGAAGAAATCGTATTTGTTCGGTCAGTGCACTGGCTTTTTGCTAGGTGTAAGACGACAGCGGGAACGTGTAGCAGCCAAAGAACAAGGACTTGGAGTTGATCCACAGCGCCTACTTCTATACACATCTTCTCCAGCACCCTTGATGAGATCCTCTTGCAAACGGCTGTCAGAGTGCGTGCTGCAGTCAAAAGACAAATATCTAGTCTCTTTGCCTCTCTAGAAAATAGTAACTGATGCTCCTGCATGGCTGGAGAAGAGCCCCGGGCAGATATTTGAACAATGGAGTGGACCTGCAGCATGAAACTCTGGAGTTTTTTTTTTCACCAGGTGAAACACAATCCCAGAGGGCTCTCATCCTGTCAGTTATCTCCCAGCATTCCTCATGAGGTCCCTTTCCTGACTTGCCTAGCTCTCTCCTCTCTGCTCAGGTTCCTCTGAACCACACACTGAGCTTTTTTTCCTCCCTTTGCCGCCGTGCTGGCTTCCCCTGTCAGCTTCCCCCTTCTCATTGCCAACATCCTTCTGACCTTGGGGCTCCTGCGCAATCCTGCCGTCCTCAGACCTGGCTACTAGGCTATAACAGGTAGATTCCGCCTATCAGGAGACAGGCCTGCTAAGGGGAGGCCACGGCATGATTGTATTTTGTAGCTTCAGGCCAACGGAGCTTGTGACATCCATACCAAGGAAAGGGGTGGCTGGTGGCTGCGTCCTGTGTGTGAGTTGATCTGGCAGGCATCTCAGGGAGAAGGCAGCCCTATGCCAAGCATTGCTGGCAGAGCAGATGTCTTAGAAATTGGACCATTCTCCTGCAGGAATAGAAGGAAAGAAGAGTAAAGACTGCGGAGGTATAAATGTTCTGGGAGGGGAGACAAAGGAGAGCCTGGGAGATGCTGGAATATACGCCCCAGAATTAAATGGTGCTCCATCTCCCTACACTTGGCAAGAAGGGCAGATGGGTTGTGGAGAAAAGTCTCAGGTGGCTGTCCCCCTATGAATCCCTTTCTGTGCAAAGGGGGTTCTCAACCCTTGTCAATGTTGAAGAGGAGGAAATTTCCTTTGGCTACGAAAAAGCTACAAGATCAACCCCCACGCTATTTAGGAGAGAGCATATTGATTCATGTAGACAGATATGCTCTTTAAATTCTGCTAGAGCCTAGGAAGAGAGATCCCGTGTCTAACTCTTGGTACTATGGTACTCGCTGACTGTGGGGTTTCAAATGAGTCTCATGGGACACTTTGAGGACACATAATGACCCGGGGTGGTCCTTCAAAGTCTTGCAATGTAGCTGCCCCCAAGCCACCACTAGGGGAAGAATTGGAAGAAGAAAGTTGAGACACAGGAAGAGTATGTGAGGACCCAGGAAGAGAGGCCAAGTTGAAGTTCCTCGGGCTATGAGACCATCAGAGTAAGATGGGGGGACAATAGGCCCTGGGAACCCTTGAACATCAGAAGGGGCTCAGGAAGTAGTTGCAGGGCTTTGAACCTATAGGTTCTTCATGAACCTACCTTTGCAAAGTTCTTCCCAGTTACCGAGAACTTCTTCCGGTTGGAATTGAACACAGGGCCAGCTGGGCAATACTTGGTCTATCTGGAAACTCACTTTAGGATGGAGATGGAGAGCATGTACAAGTCCTTTGTGGAGGGGGGTCAGTGCAGCCGTCTCAGAGTTAAGTAGCAAGTGGGGCGCTTCTCAGGGATCCCGTCTTCCTCCAGCCACGGCATGGGTTTTCACAGAAGCAGAGAACTGGATATCTTCTCCATTATTGAATTCCCAGCACCTTCACCTGATGTATCGTGGGCAATCAGTAAATTGGGTTGAATACCCATATCGGTAACTATTAATGGCCTTGGCTTACATGTTAATTCCTTAGGGAGCTTATCAAATCTTGTCAGACCTATGATGTCTCTTGTGCCTCAGCCACCATATATAAATGCATATGCATGCATGTATATGTACACAAGGTTAGATATTTATGTGTCAAACCTTATGTCTATATATTACATACATATTTAATTTGAGGAAAATGTGTAAGAGTGCAAATGTAATTGTGTGTGTGTGTTAAGCCATCTCTTTCTGTTTATCACCACCAGCATCAGAGCAAACAGTATCTCCACGGTAGATTTATGGAAATTAGGCTTAGAAATACGTGGTCCGTATCTGCCCACATTCATGTATATTTCTGTTCCTCCAAGTGTTTGGAGCATAGTAGAGGAAATCGACTGTATCCAGTCTAAAGACGCGTCTGTGCCGTGCTGCACTAGGAATCCACGTCAGCCAGTCATAGCCAAAAGGCTCTGAAGACATGGGAGACCACTCCCTAAACTGCAAAGTGCACGCCTGATCACAGTTTGGGAGCTGGGGGCATTGTCTTAAGGAGACTCATACTCTCCCTCCATCCTACTTGGAACCCCAAGTTGTGGGTCCTGTTTCAGATGCACCCTATCCTCTGGACCTTCCCCCATGGCTTTGGAAGTTGGAGAAACATTATTAAACACCTCCCCAAGTGTAATCCTGGGAAGCCAGCCTCCAAGGTCCGCTGTTCTTATCTACTGAACCCTTTGGCATTCAACCCAAGAGACTCCCCCCTTCCCGGAGAAACTTCTCTAAGCACAAAATAAAATTGATGTGGTTACAAAAGAAGATAATTGTACTGAAACACAGTTTAAACAAATTAAAGATCGATAGTGATATATGAGGTTTTTTATTATTATGGGAGATTTTATATTATTATTAGCACTTTGAATAGCAAGACTTGGCAACAAGCCTAATAACTGCCATAATCGCAAAGCAGTGAAGAGTGGAAGTTATTTCATGAGGTCTGCTGCAGTTACGTTGTGATACTGAAATGTCCATTGGTGACTGAGTCCCCGGTACAGCTAACGCTGCTGTGACATGCCTACATCTATGATTGAATGAAGCGGTAAAGCTCAATTAAACCATGTTTCCTCACACGATGTCATCTCAATACTAAGTACTTCTGTGACCAATGGTGTGCGGGGGAAACCAGTGTTTTGATACCAGCTATGCAATTTAGATAAACGATGACATGTTTTCCTGGGGATTGTGTCGAAACCTACAGATCAGAGTCCCAGACCCACCACACTGCCCATCATTCAATACTGAAGTACTAGGTCCAAGGTGACCCACAGTTTTCTCCAACTGGACCATATATCTGAGGCTTCTAAGAGCCATCTTCCTGAGTCTCATGACTTTCTGGAACAACCCACCCAAACCAGGAAGATCCTTGCTGACTAGCCTGGATGCTCTGTGATCCTGGAAGTTTGGAGACAAAGCCTTCCTTCTAGAAGTATGATGATGTATTGGCTCAAGTTCCCTTCTCTTCCCTCTTCTGGAAGGATGGGGGCGGGGGGATAGTTCCATGCACTGAGCACCGCTTGCATGGGATAGTTGCACTAAACACCACTTGCATGGGATAGTTCCATGGAATAAACACCACTTGCATTGGATAGTTTCATGGACTAAACAGCACTTGCATGGGATAGTTCTATGGACTAAACAGCACTTGCATGGAATAGTTACATGGACTAAACACCCCTTGCATGGGATAGTTCCATGGACTAAACACCCCTTGCATTGGATAGTTCCATGGAATAAACACCACTTGCATGGGATAGTTCCATGCTCTGAACACCACTTTTTTTTCCAATTGTGAATGTCCTCACCCAGGATCCCACCAAGAGAATCTATTCATTAGAGGAAAAGACATTATTTCCATCATGTAGAAAATTCCAAGGAGTTGGGACTTCTGTTTTAGGAACTATGAAAAAGACCCATCAGCACAAAAGCTGTTCCTAGATAACCCTGTGGCACACCAAATCCAAGAGAGCCCAGGAGAACTCTTGTGCCAGGAAACAGGGATGAGGACAAAGATATATACTCCTAACTGTAGATCACTGTGCAACACTGTCGCTAGCCACATAGTAAATGTGAATTTTCAGGGTTGTGGCACATACAGCTAGTGTCGTGTGTTCAGTAGGGCTATTGGGGTAAGAAACTGCCAGAGACAAAATTAAGTGAAAAGGTGACACTGTCTCAATAATATTACAACTCGATTTATTGCTTTAAAGAAAGTTGATGAGTGATTTTGGATCATGCACTTGTCTTTAAGACCCAGAATTTGATCCATATACTCATTGAGAGATACCAATTTCAAGATATCTTGAACATCTATATAACAAAATAATGATATAATTAAATAAACTTATTCTATTAGAGACAATATTCTAAGTCCCAAAGGTGAATAACCTACCCTGCATTTGAGGTTTATCTAGATTTAGCCTAAGCTTTCCTTGCACATATGATTACATACTCCTTTTTGAGATACTCCTAAGGTCACACCATGAATCATACTTAAGCCCATTTAAGCAAGCTTTCCAGGGCTGTGGTTGTGACCTAATAGCATTTGTCCAGCATGTTCAAGGTACCGAGTTTCATGTCATAAATAAGCATACACACACACACACATACACACACATTTATATTTATATATATATATGTATATATATGTACTGTGTAACATTTGTTCTCTTAGCCAAGGATACACAAAAGTTGTGTCTCTTTCTGTAGGCATAAAAGGATTTGAAAAGAAGAGTTGGTTCATGGATCACAGGATGCCAAGTTCAAATCTACAGGGTGAATCAGTGATCTGGAGTTCTGAGGATCAGTGGATATTGAATCTGAAATATAAGTGTCTAATTTTCCTTCCCAGGAACCCAGTCCTTTGGTCTTTTTTCAGACTTTCTTCTCATTGTGTGAGACCCACCCACAATGTAGTAGATAATTTGCTTCACACAAAGACTGCTAGTTTAAGAGTCAATCTCGTTTATCAACATATTCATGCAAGAGTCCAGTACAACACCAGCTCCTATACCTGAGCATTACATCTCAGCCAAGGTGACATGGTAAATTAACCATCATGAAGATGTAAAGTCTATACAGATATTTTAATAACTGAGTCCCGCAGCCATTAATATTAGAGGTGTCACTGGAATACAGGTGTCTGTATTATAAAACACTGGTCCTAGGAGTATCATTATGTTGTTGGCATATGAATAGCTGTTTCTAAATTGTTCAGGGATAGTAGGTGGTGTTAGCACCTTTGGATATGCTGACAGCCCTGTTGACTCTCTGAACACTCCTGGATGTGGGGGAAAGGGTTTCTGTCTCAGAGCAAGTGATGGAGTGTGATCTAAGGAGCATCAGAAACCTCCAGAGGCCCAGTGAACTCCTCCCCCAGTCCTTTTCAGGTGGAATTCCCAGCTGGGTTGATGCTTCCTCTGGGATTCAGTGGATGTAAGGGTGAGTCAAAAGTGTGATAGTAAGCGAGTAATCTGAGTGGCGTTGCCTAACACAAGTGTATTCATTTCTCTTCTTTTCTCATCATGTGATCTTTTCATTCCCAATAAAATGCCTGAGACAGCAACTTGAAGGAAGAAGGAATGATTTTGCCTCACGGTCTCACTGTATGGTCATCACTGTAGGCCTGTAGTGAGGCAAGGCATCACGACTTGGCGGAAGAGCAAAGCTGCTAACTTCATAGTAGCCGGGAACCTAGAAAAGTAGAGAAGGGGTAGGGAAGAGATAAACCCTCTGAGAGTTTAATCTCAGTCACGACTTAGCCTTCTGTGTTATACGCCACCTCCCATGAATCCATGAGACAATGAACTCAGCCAGGATGATATAATCATCCTTTAGTAGGACCACATCTGAGGACCAAGAGTTCAAGAATGGAGGCATTTTATATACAAAACACAACAATAGAAAACTAACATGTGCCAGGTTCTGAGCACTGCCCGTCTCCGAGGGCTGGCATCCAAGCACTAGTGTGTTTTACACGGCCTCCCTGGTGGCATTAATGTGCAGTCATTGATATGACAAATGGTCTAGATCTTTGCTAGGACAGAGCATCAGCTTGTATAGTGAACACCCAGTTCTAAAGAGAGAGGCCATGAGAAGAAATATTCCAGGGAAGTACTTCTTAAACTGGAATGTGTGAATGACTCCTCTGCTGGTCTCATTCAAGCAAAATACTGGTTCTGAGGTCAGAAGTTCTTCACGTCATAGCACACCTCAGGGGAGCTGAGGCTGCTGGTCTTTGGGCATCAGTTTTGTACAGGAAGAGAGAAGATCATCTTATCAACTAGACGAGAATAGTTCACCTTCTTCATAAGAGCCGTGTTCTTTAGCTCCACCCAATTGTGTCCAGGTGTCTTATTCATCGACATAAAAAATACCATCAGGAACAAGAAGGTCGATGCGATTTCTGGTCCAGGAAGAGACTCCTTCAAATGGACGAGCCAGAAGGGGAGACCAGCACTGCCAGACACCTCTCCTGGGACAATTTGATGTTTAATTAGGCTTTTTACTTCCTTGTTCCCCTTCCTTCTCTCCCAATTCCTCTGTCTTCCTTGCTCTTCCTTATCCTTCTTTGTCTTTTCCTCTCATTCATTTCTCCCACCCCTCTCTCTTCCCCTTTTCCTTCCTCACTGTTTCTCTCCTTCCCCTCTTCCTTTCTTCCTTCCTACCTTCCTTCTTTCCTTCCTATCTTCCTATCTTCCCTCCTCCCTCCCTCCCTCCTATTCTTTCTCCACCTCTCTTTGTGTCCTATCTATCCCTTCCTTTCTCCCCATTTCTTTTCTGTTTCTTTCCATTCCTCTTTCTCTTCCATTTCATTCTTTATTCCCCCCTCTCCCTCTCTCTTCCCCTCTCCTTATTTCCCTCCTTTTTCCCCCTTTGGCCTCAGGAACCATGCAATCTAGCTGCAGTCCAAATCCAAAATGACACGGGGATCTTAGGCTCTACTTTTCTTGCCACCCCATGTGAAGTTAGTGTGCTTGTTGTAGTTGACTGAACTTCTGCAGCATGCACGAGGAGTCTCTATGTACTTAAAGGGCACATACTCTTGCAGAAATCTCATGGTATTGGAGGACACGTAGGTTTTGTGTCATTACAGCCTCTGGACTTGCATTCTGCTGTGTGGTACTGAGCAAGTGCTGCCTGTCACAAAGGAAAATGAATCCCCTTCCTTCAGGGTCAAGAGGTGCTTGCAGAAAAATCAAATAGAAAGCACAAAGATGCAGAGGAGACAGGTAGGAGCAGAAAACACAGGCAGGGGCATCATAGAGCAAGAACGAACCCCTGCACCCACCTTGGTTTCCAAA